TCTCCGCACGTGCGCTCGACTCGGTCAAATGTACCAATTAAAAAAATATATCCTTAATTCCTAATAAATCAAAAATAAATAAATAATAATATCACCAAGCAAACCGACCGAGGTCCGGGCCAGCCTTACGATCAACAACAGAAAAGAATCACTCGCGCCTTAAACCTATGCGCCCACGCACTCGCTATTGTGGTCAACCACCCTGTCACGCAATTATAGACGCAGCCTCGCTTAGCGCGGTATACTTGAACGCTAGACCAAAACTATTTTCTGTCACTTGCAAAAACGAGGGCGGATACCCTTGTAAGGGTGTTCGCACCGACAACGCTACCTCTCATATATGTGGCGTTGTCTCTGGTCTATGTGACGCTACTTCTGGTCTAAGTGGCGCTGCTATTTGTCTTTATTGATGATGTGACGTTTGCCACCTGTCTTGATTGCTGACGTTGCATTGTCCACGGTGTCTACATGAGGTGAATGGTTGTGAGGAAGAGGAAGATCGGGACTGTGGAGAGATTGTGGATACGTACCTGATTGTCTCCATGTCGACATTGCTCCAGTGCTGATGAGGGACTCATTAGACGTGCCATGTGGCACATTGAGGATACTTTAGATACTCGTTCAGACTATTGATTATTGAAGTGGTGATTGAGGAGGGAGCCCGAAGCAGGAGTAGGCATTATGTTTATCTCCTCTCCTTTGTCGAATCTCCCTCCTCTCTCCTTCGTCTATGTATGATTATCTCATTCTGTCTGGACATGATCTTGACCATTGGTAATCATCAGTTGGTTGACATTCATCTGGACTTGCATTGTTGATAACTGTATTCACGATTTGGGTTCATTGCAGTCTGCTTGATTGTTGGTCAATAATGTTTCTGATTTTTAATTGCAAGCATGTGTTTTTTTTTTTTTGGAAACAACTACTTCCTGGTCATGATTTGATGTCTGAATCTGTAGGAAAGGTGACAGCAGCCTTGATGGAGATGGAGGAAGAAAAAAACCCGGGCATTGATGGGTTCCCAAAAGGATTTTGGGAAGTGATGTGGGATTTTCTATCTCACGACCTTATGGACTTCTATGAAGCTGTATGGACATCAGGGAGAATGAGTAAGGTGGTTGGAGAAGGAATTTTAGCCCTGCTATATAAAAAGGGAAATAAACTCAACATTCACAATTACAAACATATTACTCTCCTTATAGTAACATATAAATTGGCAGCAGAAGCTTTAGCAAACCGCTTGAGGAAAGTGATCAGGGACATCATCCATCCAACCCAAACAGGATTTATTGAAGGGAGAAATATCCAAGATAACATCCTGCTCATAAATGAATTAGTTAAATTTTCCAGACAATCGAAACTCAATGCAACTTTAGTTTTTATTGATTTTGGAAAAGCCTATGATCATGTTGATTGACTATTTTTTAAAAATGCATGGAAAAAATGAACATTGGACCTTCTTTTCGCCCATGGACAAAAATTCTTCATTCCAACGCAACTACAAGAGTAATGATAAATGGTAACCTCGCCCCACTTATTTTGTTGGAAAGATCGGTGAGACAAGGTGATCCTATTGCTCCCTTTCTTTTTGTTATAATAATGAAGGCCCTAGCAGCTAACTTGCGGCAAAATAAAGATATTAAAAAAATCCGGGTTTCTTAAATCCCTGAAGAAGCCATACCAATTTGTTCTTTTTTTGCTGATGACCTCTCCTTGATAATTAAAGCAACGTAAGATAATCTAAAAGGAATTAAAATGTTAATGGATAATTTTTGTAAGTTGTATGACATGAGGGTTAACTGGGGGACCAAGACACAAGGGTGGTGGATATACCACCAAGGGGTTCTTCCCCCAGAGACTCCTAATATTAACTGGCTCCCTCTACACACACCTATCAGAGTTTTAGGAGTATCCCTATCAGCAAAAGGTAAACCAAAGACAAATAATAAATATATTTCTAAACCAGCCTCAATGAAAATGGAGGTATGGAAAGATAAACACGCTTTTTTGATAGGCAGGTCACTGGTGGTGAACAATGTCATCCTAGCCTTAGCATGGTATAAATCGGCAATATGGGCATTGGAGAAGAAGGGACTAATCACGATCTCAAAAATATAATTAGCATAGTCGCTTGGCAAGCAGTTATTCAACCTAAGACAAAAGGAGGCCTGGGCATCTTGGACCCAACTACACAAGCAATGACTCTATTGCAATCAGACTCGACTTCTTCACACTTGTCATGCATGCAAACAACGAAACAGCAAACTGGCGACATGCGCCCACACAGTACTCAAAGATATCGTAACCAGGTAGGAGTTCCCTTCAAACTGGCTATGGCGACTGAGCGCCCACACAACTCACTGTTCGCACTCTGGATCACCCTAGATGTCCCACACGCAACACTCTATACGCAACACACACACACACACACACGCTACTATAGCTATGGCTGCCACTATCCTATCGCTACACTACACTTCACTGCCCTCTTCGTCTTCGGGCGCACTGCAGACCTCCTTGCACAAGCTGCTGAGGCAGCGCTTCCGCATGGCATCCACAGGAATGAATGACTGGCTGGACGCAGCCTCTTGATTTATACTTTTGTGTGGCGTTGGTCTGCCCTGTATCCCTTGGCCCACGATGTGCACAGTCCCAGACGGTACTTGCTAGACTGGACCGGACTGGGCTACCTGGGACTGCTGACTCTACGTAGTGGACCTACACCACTTGCCCACTTGCCTCGGCCTAAACAGGGGCTGACTCCGAAAGGCCAGTTCTAGAAACTTCTACTTTGGCCTTTCGGTACTGTAGCAGCTACGACTTTGCCCTTTCAGGTAAGTAGCAACTACGACCTTGACCCTTCAGATATCCTACAGCTACGACTTTGGAACTGTCTAGACTCCTACGCTACAGGTCTACAGTTCGATTCCCTTCTAAGCTGTGACCTACGACAATCTACCTACCACTGGCGTTTCGACAGGTCGCAGGTCCAAATCTACGGGTTGTCATCAATACTGTACGCAGGTAAGATGGGGAACTAGGGATCGAGCCTTGGGATCTGCATTTGCTACTGCAAACTGGTGAATACCGTTTCACTCCCGCCGCCCTAAATTCGAGGTCCTCCGAGAAAATTTCAGTCCAAGGCAGGAACTTTACCCTTCTGCTGTCTTTCATAGGCCCGGACTATATCGGGAGCTGTCTCTAGAAGTTCAGATCTTGTAAACCAACGGTCGTCTTCCAGTTCTTGATAACTAAAATGAACCTTGTACTGTTTTTGCGGACGACCCCTACCTCCGGCTCTAAAGACATCCTCAGCCACTATACCGTCTATGTCATACCTTCCATCCATATCTGGTGGGATCATTGATCTACGGGATGGAAACTGATGACTTGTTTGACAAGGTAGCAACTCCGATGTGTGGAAAACTGGATACATGTGGAGGTGTGCTGGTAGTTCTATTGTATAGGACGGTCCATCTTCACCGCCCTTGACTTCAAGAACAGGCCACGGTCCTCTATATGTGGGCAGTAACTTCTGCGAGATGTTCTCCTCAGGTGCAAACTCTTTCGAACTAACCCAGACCTGTCTCTTATACACATCTAGATGTGTATAAGAGACAGGAGCATCCGCGACTACGTTGTACTTCCCTTTGACAGGCTTGAGCTCAAAGTCGTACTGATCTATCTCTGCGGCCCACCTTGTAAGCTTAGGTGTCATCTTGGCCTGGGTCTTTAACCACCGTAACGTCTGTCTCTTATACACATCTAGATGTGGTTAATCATCCTATGCTGGGCTTTCCTGAGGTTTTCTACAACARTAGCTAGTTCTTTCTCGTGCTGTACAGCGAACTCCCGGGTCCCGGGCGGCAATCTCTCAATCTGATCCCGGTTGAGTCCCTCAAATGGTCTGCGGAGTCTAAAGGACTTGTGCGGTTCGTTGGGAGTGCGGCAGGTGGCTAGATGCACGGTGTTATTGTACGCACTAGCTACTTTAGGCAACATCTCATCCCAGTTAATCTGATCTGGCCTAATATACATGCGCAAAACTTGCTGTAGGATCTTGTTCATTTGCTCTGTCTGACCGTTAGTCTCTGGATGGCGGTCGGACGACATCAACAACTTAGATCCGTATACTCCCATGAGTTCTTGCCAGTTCTGGCTAGTAAAGCGACTATCTTTGTCGCTAACTATAGACAGCGGGATTCCGTTCTCACTAACCCAACAGTCAAAGAACCTCTGTATGACTAAATCAGTACGCGCCTCAGAAGGCAAAGGAACAAAAACTGCGTGCTTGCTAAAGCGGTCAACTATGACCATGACTTGGCTCTTGCCATGCCTGCTCTTGACTTGAGTGTCCATGAAATCTATTGACACTGAGTCTCCCGGCTGATCCGGAATGGGCAAGGGTCTGAGAAGACCTAGCGGGGCGCGCGCAAAACTCTTATTATGCTGGCAGACTTTGCAACTGCGAACATACTCTACGCAGTCATTCTTCATCCCTGGCCAGGTATACGCGCGCATCAGATTGGCCAAAGTCTTTTGCCAACCGAAATGACCCTCTGTGTCGTGACATTCCCCCATAATCATACTACGGATCTCTTCGCTATTGGGGATGCATAACCGGTCAAAGACATTAGTCTTCTCGAAGAGTAATCCTCCAGTAGTGCGGTAGTTCGGCTCGGTCTCTGAGGCCTTCTTGACTCGCGTGAGGAGCTCACTATAGATAGGGTCCTGCGCGTAGGCTTCTCTAACCTTCTGCTGCAGATCCTTTCCTATATCGAGGTAATGTACTATTGCCCCAAAGTAATCTGCTCTCCTACTCAGAGCATCCGCGACTACGTTGTACTTCCCTTTGACAGGCTTGAGCTCAAAGTCGTACTGATCTATCTCTGCGGCCCACCTTGTAAGCTTAGGTGTCATCTTGGCCTGGGTCTTTAACCACCGTAACGTTTCATGGTCCGAATAGACTTTGAAGTGCCTCCCAAGCAAGTAGTGCTTCCAGTGGTCTAATGCTTACCTGAGAGCGTAGAGTTCCCTCTCATAGGTAGATGTTGCAACCTTCTCTGAAGGCATCCTAGCCATTGCCATCGTCTTGCTGGAACACTGCGCCTATGCCGTACTGGCTAGCATCCGTAGTAACAACAAAAGGCAAGGACGGATCGGCGACCTTAAGGACCGGATACTCTATCAACGCCTGCTTTAGCTTCTTCATGGCGGACGTGCAGTCCTTGTCCCACTTCCAGATTGTCTCTTTACTCAGCAATCTGCGAAGGGGCGCAGCGATGGTGGAGAAGTTCCTTACGAACTTTCTGTAGTAATTCGCTAAGCCCAGGAACGAGCGCAACTCTGTCAGCGTACGTGGCGTGGGCCAATCTCTAATCGCTGCGATCTTGCTATCTTCTGGCTTAACGCCGTCTCCGTCTAAGACGTGGCCTAGATACAAAACTTGGGTCTTCGCCCAATCGCACTTCTTTGCATTGATCTTGAAGTTAGCTTTTCTCAGCTTCTGCAAGACTTGCCTGAGATAACCCTGATGCTCTTCGAGGGTCCGACTAAACACTAGGATGTCATCTAGATAAACTACAACGAATTTGTCTAACCACGGCCTAAACAAATCATTCATACACCACTGAAAAGTTGCTGGCGCATTGGTTAGTCCAAAGGGCATCACTATAAACTCATAATGCCCGTACCTAGTCCGGAAGGCTGTCTTATACTGATCATCAGGGTGTACCTCTATCTGATGATATTCCGACTTTAAGTCTATCTTAGAGAAATACTTAGCCCCCTGCACTCGATCTAAGAGATCGTCGATCCTAGGCAGTGGCTCAGCATTCTTTACTGTAATAGCATTCAGACCCCTATAGTCTATGCACATTCTCAGCTCTCCCTCTTTCTTAGGAACAAAGAAAACAGGTGCTCCGAAAGGAGACAAACTGGGCCTAATCCAACCCTTCTCGAGGAGCTCGTCTAATTGCTTGCGAAGCTCCTCTAACTCCCGCAGGGACATCCTAAACACAGCACCCTTAGGAGTTCTAATGCCAGGCTCTATCTCGATACGGTGCTGGATGGGCCGCGACACCGTGCCTGTCGGCGGCTCAGTCAAATCCTTAAACTCCTCCAGCAGCTTGGCAATCGTAGGGTCCATCCGCTTCTCTTCCGTAGGCTCAGTGACGGGCCTAACATAGGCAACAAAGACCTGTTCCTCTAATTTCTCCTTCTTCACCAATCTGGCGAACGCAGGGGCACTAAGGCAGCAATGTGCCAAGGAATTCTCTACTCCTGACACATGAAACAGGCGGGCAGTCTTAGCCTCGCCTGCAAAACTAGGGAGTCTACACTCGTGCTCCTTCAAATGGAGCATTGCCCCGGCTGCCTCTCCCCAATCCATTCCCAGTACTATATCAAACGGGAGGCTGTCCTCTACGAGGAGAGTCAGGGAGTGGAGGACCTTCTCCACCTTCCCATCTTTCTCTAGGCGAAATACGCCTGAACTCCCTCTACGTAATCCTCTACAACCATGGTACGATTGTCCGCGAGGATACTAACTATGGGGTCTGTCAGTTTCTGGACCTTAAGTCCCAACCTCAACTTCTGCAGCGCTTGCTTACTAATATAGCTGCGGGTGGCCCCTGAGTCTACTAGGGCCCCTACTCTACTTCTAAAAATCTTTACATCTAATAAAATCAGCTGCCCTTTATTATCCTTCTTCATCTTGGCCCAGGCGGGCCTCCTCTCCTTCAACTCTTCCGCCACGCCTATGAGGGAGGTGTCTAGCGAAACTCTAACACAAGCAGTCTCGGGACAGCTGTCTAGACACCGGCCCGCAATCCTACCGTAGGCACATGTGGTGTGGGAGTCTCCTGCCAGCTAGCGCTATTTTCCCCACATGGCCTAGTGGTAGGGGCAGTTGCTACCCCTACCGGCGGCTGCCTTTTGGCTCTTGAGCAGCCGTTCGGGTCTCTCGATACTTAGGACAATATTTGATGATATGGCCCGGGTCACCGCAGAAAATGCACTGGCCCCAGTTCAATCGTTGTTGCCATAAAGCCTGGTCCAGACCCAAAGATTCCCACGGCCTACCCTGAGGTATCCCTGGGTGCCATCCTCCTGCTCTATAGGGAGACCTGTTCCTAGGACGGTTTTGCGTGGGACCTTGACCCCTACCTCCCGCTTGGCGGTTCCCTCCTCTGCCGCCAACCCCCTGATCGCCTTGGAATCAGCTCCCTGAGGCCCGGCCCCCTTGGCCTTGGCCTCGTCCTCCTTGCGGCCTCCCTCCATCCGCGACAGCAGCGTAAGTCCTCCCCTGGCCCACACTACTGTCCTCCTCCTCGAACCCCCACTCAATCTGGTCGTAGGGAATCTTGTCCACACTACCCTCATCTAAAGTGAGCACAAGGCTATCCTTGGTCTTGACTTGCCCTGAGATAGTGCGGCCCTTCCACTTTTTGCCCTTGTCTAAATCTTTGTGCCAGAAGGTGGAAATCGAYGCAGACTTCGCCTCGAACGCGACCACTTCCCTGCTAAGTATATCATAAGTCATAGCAGGGTCCTGACTCTTGTCAAAGAAGTGACCACGCAGCGTTTCGGGCATAGCCCAGTAGAAAAGGTTGACCAACTGGATTTCCGTGACCTTGTGGTCAGGAACAACCACCAACTCATCCATTGTGCCCTTGAGTGCCCTTGCACTTTTCCATTGGCGCGAGTGTATTGTCTGAAGCCTATCTGAGGCTTTGACACTACGGGCAACATCAACGAATCGCTCGCGCAGCAGCTTCAAGAATTCAATGAGGGACGTAAACGAGGAGTACGCAACTGGATCGTCACTACAGTTGGCAGCACGAACAAGGGATCTTGCGAAACTGGCGGCCTCGTCTCTAAGTGCATGGATCACAATTAAGACCTGCTGATCCGGGGAGACCTGTTGCAAATGCACATAGGTCTTAACATTGGCCTCCCAATTRTMAAAGTTCTCTTCCCTTTTCCCWMTRTAGGAATCAGGGAATTTGACTTTGACTGGCTCCCTGCGAGGACGGGCCTCCTCCTCCTTGGGAGCGGCCACCTTGACGCCTTCGATGGCGCCGACACAAAAACGCTCAGTTTTCTCGAGGCGATGACTCACCTCGGATCCCACAGCGCCTACTAGTTCGCGAGCAAAATCCCGTAATCCCGTTCGCATCGAACGCACGGATATCTCCTGGCTGCGACTAAACTCATAGTGTTTTTCTTGCACTTTAGCTAACCGSTCAACGCTATGGGCGATGATCTCCACTTTGCGTTGGAGATCTACTTGCGGAGTCAATTGTGTTGTTAAGGCAGTCCTCACCTCCGCTAGTTCTTGCATTGCTGCATTCGCTGCCTCCACTCTTCTCTTCTTCTCCCTCATCACTGCGAGCTTTCACGCCATCCTCTGTTCATCCTCCATCGCCTGCCGCGTCAGAACATCTTCTTCTGCTTCCCATTTCTTCATGGTGGCTTCTTGCTCATCCTTGGGGATGTACATAGCAACCTCTTCCTCCTCACACAGGGATAAGTTGGCGACCCACTCCGAAATCTTCTTCTCCATCTCATCACTGCTGCTGCCGCTGTGCTGCCCACTCTTTTGCAGTGGCGGTCCTTCCTCTTCTTCATCCMCCTCCTTCAACTTCTCTTCTTCTTCCTTTTTCAACCTCTCTTTCTCCCTGGCCATCTCTTCTTCCATCTTCTTTAGTTTGGCCGCCTGTTCCTCTTTCAAGGCCTTCTTCTTGGCCTCCTTCTTCTCCTTCCTCTCTTGCAGGGTGGCGGCCATCTTCTCCTCCTCCTCCTTCGTGTATGGTTGGGTGGCGGTACCACCTCGAGTGGGCCCTACTCTACACACAAATATATGTCAAAATCCCAGAGGAAAGAGGAGACGCCAGAGGGTCCCCCAAAGGGAGAACCCAACCAGTACCGGTCATTGGGCTAGACGAGTTGTTTAACGAGCGCTCGCCGCTCATGCCCAGGTCTCCAAGTGCCAGAGTAGAGCTTTGGTCCTACTAAGCCCGTGCAGGTTTGGCAGCAAGGCCCTATCCTTCATCCACAGATTCCTAGCACCTAGGATAGAAGAGACTCAATGTAGAAAGAGTAGACAGACAGACACAGCAAGTACCGTGGGGTAAGTGCACATCCACAGGGTAAGGGGATAGGCTGAGGGTTCAACGAGATATCACCAACTCCAGCTTGGTCAGCAGCTCCGGTCAACGCCTTGGAAAACGCCGAGTCAACGCAGACAAGCCCCGGTCAATGCTTGGTCAATCCTCTGGTCAACCCTCTGGTCAACGCCCGGTCAACCCTTCACCTCGGCTATGGCTGCCGGCACCTTCACCTTCGTCACCCTCGCCGTCTACTTCCCCGTCCTTCACTTTCTTTCCCTTCACTTCCGCTGCATTTTATTTATTTATTTATTTATTATTTATTTTTTTTGTGCTCGCCCCCGGCTATGTCTGCCTTCTTCTCCAACCTCCTCCTCCCACACTTCTTCTTCTCTCT